TTGTTCCTTTACAGTCAATGATAATATACAAAACCTTCAAATACATGCAGGGCACATCCTGAAGTTCTTAAAAAAGAAGGAAGCTGAGGATGACTTCTGTGTTGCGGGAATAACAAGGATACGTCTTCACCCAAGAGACTCCTGAAATTTTGTCTTTGGACAGGCCTCTCTGACAGATGGTGTGGGGATATTCAGCTTTGTAAGATATGGCAGTGATTTCTACAGCTCAGGCTATGAAGGCAATGTGAAGGTGTCGCAGAAAACAATCTTCAAGTGGCTACTCGGTGTTTGGTAACTATTATACTCCTGAAATGACTGGTGTTTTGCTGCTTCAGTCCTGTCAGGCTTTAGTACATGAAATTAGACACGTATTTGGACTTCGACCCTGCCAGTGGATTGCATGCCTAGAACAAGCACTTGGAAGAAGCTGACCAGTGCCCCCTAAATCCGTGCCCTGTCTGTTTACACAAGTTGCAGTGTGCTATTGGCTTCAATGTTGTAGAAAGATACGAAGGGCTGGTGAGGTGGATTGATGATGAATCTGCTGACTCACCAGTCACTCCAAAACATAGTCGTGAGAATAATGTGCATTTGCCCTGTGGGAACCTTTACACAGTGGATAATGAAATGCCTTGCTGTTGTCCAAAAATAAGAACCTTCAAATAGGAGTAATTAAAATAAAAATTTGCACATTAAAAACAAAAACAAAAAAATGACAATGAGGTACCACCTTATACCTGCCAGAATGGCTACCATCACTGAATCAACAAACAACAAGTGCTGGTGAGGATACAGAGAAAAGGGAACCCTAGTGCACTGCTGGTAGGAAGGCAGACTGGTACAACCACTATAGAAAACAGTGTGTCATTTCCTCCAAAAATTATAAATGGAACTGCCATTTGATGCAGTGATCCCACGTCTAGGAATATATCCTAAGAAGCCTGAAACACAAATTAGAAAGAATTTATGTAACCCTATGTTCATAGCAGAATTTTTTATGATCGCTAAGATCTGGAAACAGCCCAAGTGCCTGCCCATCAGTAGATGAATGGATAAAAAAGCTGTGGTCTATTTACACAATGGAATACTATGCAGCTATAAAAAAAGAAAGATCTCTTACCCTTTGAGACAACATGGAGAGACATGGAGAGTATTATGCTAAGCAAAATAAGCCAGTCAGAGAAAAACAAATATCACATGATCTCTTATAAGTGAAATCTAATGAATAAAATAAACTGAAAAATAGATCCACAGACATAAAAGTATGCAACAGACTGATGATTCTCAGAGAAAAGGGAAGAGGACTGGAAGAGATTAACCAAAGAACTTATATGCATATATGCATAACCCATGGAGACAGACAGTAGTTCCATGAAGGCCTAGGGGTAGGGGGGAGAGCAGGAGTGGGCAGGCAGGGGTCAATGGGGGAGGGGAGAGGGGAGAAAGGGACATCTGTAGTACTTTCAGCAATAAATCTGTAGTACTTTTGCCTGGGGTATAAGTATTTTCAAATATAAAAATATTCACATTTTATATCAGAGGAACCTAAAGCACAGGGAAGTTAGGAGAACTTTGCCCAGCATCACACAGCTGCTAAGAAGTGGAGCCAAGATTTGAACCTGTGAAGTATGGCTCCACTGTGGTCTGAATGCTCTGTATGTTTTAGCTGCTAATTATGAGGGTCTTCATATCTCAGCATTTCAAGGGGCTTCCAGAGACCATTCTTTACCCCAAAGGCAAGGATCCCCTGTGGGTGTGGGAAGACTTTTGGGGCCTGCAACAGGGAAGGGTAGTACTAGGGGGAGTGGCCTTTCATATGGAAAAGACCCTTAAGCTTCCCAGTTCCCTTAGTTTGTTTCATGAGCTCCAGGTCCAGGCACTTTCAGGAAGTGAAATCTCTCATAATGATGGTGTGGGGGTGGGGGTGGGGGGGTCAGCTGCCACCGACTGTTTCCTGCATTCCTGGAGGCATCTTACCTGAAAAGAAAACTCCAAATATCTCCCCTCTTTCCCGCCCAAGATCCCAGGCTGAGATGGGGGAAAGCATTTCTCAGGGGTAGAATTCTTTGTTCCTTCCTCCCAGCTGAGTTCCATTTCTCCACTGGGAGGACTGAGTCCCCAATACTTACTGAAGAACCCCTCAACCAGCCCAGGTTCCTGGACACCCCCCAGGAGGATGAACGGTACCAGTATTGACAGAAGTCCTGAGAGCCCCATTTTAGGAGGGGCTGGCCTGGCTGGTGGCACCAAAACTAAGAACAAGTGCTAAGCAGCAGCCTCAGAGCTTTTGGCTGCCCGGACACAGCTTAACACTCCAAGAGGTACACGTCACTGGAGACCAGCCAGCTACTCTCCCTCCTCCAAGGAACGCCAAGTCCCCGAGGCCATGAATGGGACTAGCTGACACCCACAGCACCAACCCTGAGGGAAGGGGCTCCTGATAGGCAGCATTTAGTCCTCAAGTGAGCTGAGGCTCTCTGGCTGTCTGGTCAACCAGAGAGAGAAAGTTTATCGGGGGCTTCTTTAGCAGAGGGAATGTTCGATTCCAAGGTCTCTCATTTTTCAGGGAGAGTTTGGAGGTCAAGAGTATCCCAGGTCTTGTCTTTCTTTCAGAACTTACTCTTCTGGCGTGTTTATTTTTCTGTCTGCTAGTTTTTCTCACGCTGTTCATTTTCTTCTCTTTGTGCCTCTTTCTTTTACTCTGTCCCTGTCTTTTTCTCTCTCTTTTTTTTTTTCTGTGAGTCTCTCAGTGTCTGGGTCTCTTTCTCCCTGCCCTTCTATTTCCCTGTGGTCCTTTTCCTCTTTCTTCTCTTTGGGCCATCCCTTTTCTTTAACCATCGTCAAAGAGTAAAGCTATTGCCACGAATAGCATGGAAGGGAGGAGAAGGTTGATTCCAGATTGAACCAAATCTTCAGAGTGCCTATCAAAATCATGATACTTTGAAAGCAGGAGAGAATGTTAGGGCTAACGGAGAACTTCTATCATCGGGTTCAATTTGGAATAGGTGAAGCAGGAGGGAAATAGTAAATAGCAAATAAATGTCAGTTGTTACCTCAGAACCAGCTGTATCAATGGGTGGGGCCTGAAGATTATTCCATTGAACTTTCCAATTTAAGGCTTGAAGCATCAGTAAGACATATTCTCAGCTCACCTGCAGCTGCAATTCTAATGTACATTTTTTTCTAATCCATTTTTTATAATTGAGATGGAATTCACATTATATAAAATTAACCATTTTAAGTGAACAGTTAAGTGGCTTTTTATTACCTTCATGATGTCGTGTAACCATCACCTTTATTAGTTCCAAAACATTTTTATCACAAGAGAAAACTCCATACCCATTAGCAGTCACTCTCCATTTTCCCCCAGCCTTACTCCAGCCCCTGGCAACCACTAATCTATTTTCTACCTCTATGAATTTGCTTATTCTGGATATTTTATATAAATGGAACCATAGAGTGTATGGCCTTTTGTGACTGGCTTCTTTCACTTAGCATAATGTTTTTGAGGTCCACCCAGTGTGGCATGTATTCATGCTTCCTTCCTTCTTATGGCTGAATAATATCTAGTGCATACTGATAGCTTTCCACGTCAAGCATCAGGGTCTCTACTTCTCTGCTGAGACTTTTTTCTGGCTCCTGGGAGCTTGCTCAGATTCCATACAGAACAGCCTGGAAGAATGAGGGATTTCATGCTCCCCCCACCCCGCCCCCCAGGCATCCAGGAGGGTACGGGAATCAGTGGATACACACCTCAGCTTCCCTATAACTACAGATGGAGACATGTTTTACATGATCTTGTGGAAGATCTCCAGTAGAATTAAGCTACAGTTTGCACCGTGGTAACCAGCTCATTATCAACTCCTCGCTTTCCTATATCACTTACCTACTCCTCACATTTATCTCCCAAATAAACTACTTTTACCCATGCCCTTTTACCCATGTCCTAGGATCAGTTACTGGGGTATCCAAGCTAAGGCAATGCCCAGGAGCCCTTATCATAAAAGGGTCTTGCAATTTTTTGAAGAAACAGAGGAGAATAACAATATCCCTGGGGTATCAATTTTCAAGGTTCTGATTTTCTTCACTCCCTTTAATGGTGTCTTGAGAAGCCTCAGTAAGCTTTTACTCTCCACAAACCATAACGTACCAATAGATGTGAGTCATTCAGCCTTAGAGGCACAGGATGAACCAGTATTTTATTGGGAAAAATTGGGAGCTACATAGGTATAAACGGGGTGCTAGAAGTTGGACTTTAGAAATGGGATCAAAACAGGATATTTTATATGAAAAGAGACTGAAATGGAAGAAGGGGGAAGCAGATCCAGGGGTTTAGTCTTGGGAAGGGCTAAGGCCTTGGAATGCTGGGAGTGGAACAGAGGAAGCCAACTTGGAGTGCCGATCGGGCACATAGACAGAGCCTTGAATCATGAGCCAAATCCTGGTAGTGTTCCAGTTAATCCATATGCATTCAGGATTAGAAGCCTGTTGACAATGTAGACCAAGACCAGCTGAGCATCTTGGGCTTATCTTCAGAACTAGTCTTGAAGTTGTGTTTGAACATTTCCACAGGACATTAAACAGAAGTGAGTTTACTTTGGGAAGTTATACATCTCCTTAGAGGAAAAATGGATGTGGATGGGAGTGGATTACTAGCAAAACATTGTAATGAGGAAATTAATGGCCTGGGTGGTTGGTCAACATGCCCAGTGCTAGGTTGGGTGTCATGTGATCTCTCTGAAGGTGGGTCTCTGATATTTCACCAAATCTGCACCCTCCCTCCACTCCTCATACTTGCCAGCTTTGATTCATGACCACGTTTTTCCCAGTCTCAGTTCCCACTAAGCCCCTGTCCAACCCTCTGTGAGGTATATTCTTACCTCCTGGTTGAAGCTGATTGAGCCAAGGATGCAGCCATCCTAGAATGGACTAGCCAACACCCAGACCTCCCACGTGGCCCTGGGGAGGGAGGATGGGAGGTCGAGGCCCTTGGTACTCACGTTTTTTGGAGCACATATTCTGACACAGGTCTTTGGTTTGGAAGTTGTTATTGTTTCCTTGGCAGCCACCATAGATGAACGTGGAACAGGTATCATTCTTCTTATCATACCACCAACGACGAAAAAAAGCCATGCAGGGACCAGGATTTTTCGGCAAACTGCATATATCTGCAGGGAGATCCCAGAGTTGAGAACTTAGAGTGCCCACCCGGAAAAAATACAACTGTTACTGTCCCTTTGGCAACCCCCGTAGGATAAAACCGAGCCGTCTCCTCTTCACCTGATCACACCTTGGGGCCCAGCCCCATTTATGTATTGTGCACATTTCAGGGAGACCGTAAAGTGGAGCTGTCTGGGCAACTGCCCCCCTGGGAAACATCGGTATCTCCCTTCCCTTCTGGTCACTGGCCTCATTGTCTCCCCTGAGAGTGAGGAGATTCTGGCTTCAAGGTTCTTTTCCTAATTCAGTGTCTGCCCATCGACCTCCCACATTACCTCTCTTGTCCTCGACTCCCATTTCTGTAAAATGGAAACGCAAAGTCTCACCCTGCGTGTTGCACAGGGCTGTCCTGAGGGCAAGTGAGACCACCCTCATGGCCCTCTAAGTTGCCAGCTCTTTGACTGTATCTGAATGTGCAGCTTTGAGCACAGTGCTTGGCAGAGAGTAGCTGCTCAAAAAACATGCCCTGAATAAATAAAAGATATGGAAATTAGAAATTATAAGCCATTTACTCTGCCTTCCACAGCATGCCAAGAAGAGACTATGTGATCATGAGTAAAGTGCAAGTCCAATGCAGGGAAGGCGAGAGTAGTTTTTCAGATGGTCAAGCCCCCTTTCTTCTTGTGGTTAGTTTCATTCCTGTTATGAAATGAATTGCATCCCCTCACCCCCCAACCCATTTATATGTCAAAGTCCTAATCCTCAGTACCTCAGAATGTGACCCTATTTGGAAATAGAGTTGAGTTATACTGGAATAGGGTGCATCTCTAATCCAGTATGACCAATGTCCTTAGAAAAAGGAGAAATTTGTTCAGAGACACACACAGAGAGAACACCATGTGAAGTTGAAGACAGAGGTCTACAAGCCAAAGAATGCCAACTGTTCCCAGCACACCCCCAGAAATTAGGGGAGAGGCATGGAACAGATTCTCACACACAACTGAGAAAGAACCAACCCTGCCAACACTTGACCTTGGACTTCGAGCCTGCAGAACAGTGAGACAATACATTGCTGTTGCTAAAGCTGCCCAGTCTGTGGAACTTTGTTTCAGCAGCCCTGGCAAACCAAACAGGTCTGAACTAAACTGCTAGTTCAGCTGAACAGTCAAGTCCTGTTGATTTTCACTTCCTCACAGCCTACCTCTCCGCCACTCTTTTTCTTAGTTTCAGGTGTGCAGCATAGTGGTTAGACAATCATATACTTTACAAAGTGTTTCCCCTGATATTCCCAGTATCCAACTGGCACTAGTCTGAAGTGGTCAGAGGAGGTTTGCTGGTGCTGTTAGATTTACCCGGTTAGGCAGAGAGGCGGGCACTCTAGAGCAAGAAGCTAGATGATACCATTTGCAGCAACAATGTAGGTATATGGTGGGCCAACAATGGCCACTGGGGACTCAAAAGAGTAAGAGTGGAAACTAGCCAAGAGACTATCATCACACCCTTGCACCCCTTTGCAGGGGAAAGCGAAGCCCAGACAAAATGAAGACATTACCTAATGCCAGACATCATATTAGGGGCGGAGATGAATGTAGAGCCCACGTTTCCCAAGTCCAGCAGTGTTGCTCAGACACCTACCCTTAGCACACCAGGGACAAAGCCAGCCCAAGTGGGCAGACGGTGAGGGTTTGGGTAGAAGGGTTGGTTATTCAGAGGCTAGTACCTTGTTGGAGGTCTAAACATTTTTTCCCACAGTTGAAGACACAGCACTTCTTCTTGTCCGGACAGGTTTTGTTCTTCGAACATTCATCCCTTTCTTTGAATTGGCATTTCTCTCGGATTCTGGGGCATCTCTCTGTGGAAGAGACAGTTTTACAACCATGAGTCATGGAGGGCACAGTGCCCATCTTCTCCAGACCCAAGGCAACTCTGGGGAGTCAGGGAAATTTGCTTTTACTTTGCTCTTCCCAGGAGTCCTTTTCCTCAGGGTGTCCTCATGTATTTCCCAGCACTGCCTGCACTACCCTCCTTCCTGACCATCCCTCACTCTCTACCTTCTGATCCCATCCCTAGCCCCACCATCAGCCCAGCCCGCCTAAGGGAGGATTTCTTATCCTTGATACTAGTGACATTCCAGTTGGATAATTATTTGATGGGAGAGAAGAGCTGTCCTGCGCATCGCAGGAGGTTTAGCAGCATCCCTGGCCTCTACCCACTAGATGCCAATAGCACACCCAGTTGTAACCAAAAATGTCTCCAGACTTTGCAAATGTCCCCTGGAAGGCAAAATCACCCTGTTAAAACCCACTGGTCTGCGCTAATCTGGTCATTTTGGCCGGGTCAGGGAGTCACCGTTCAGGAATTCCTTCTTGAGGGGGAGGGGTGTATTGTACAGTGATTAATACCACTCAACCTGGCGTCAGACAGTTAGGTTTTTAAATTCTTAACTCTTGGTTTACCACTTACTCTCTCTGAGCCTTGGTTTCTTCATTTGTAAAATCGTTTTAGCCTCACAGAGTTATGAGGAAGAAAAGAGACAACACATATAAAGCTGTAATTACAGTAACTGATACACAGTCATATTAACTCGCATTTAATCCCCATGATAGTTTAATTAATATCCCCATTTGGCAGATAAGGAAACTGAAGCAGGTGGAGTTTAAGTAACTTGCCCAAGATTACATGGCTACTAAGTGGTGAAACCAGAATTTGGACCCACCAAGTCTGACTCCAGATCCCTCTCTTTAAATCCCTACTTTCTGAGTGTTCTGTAAATGGTAGCAATTAACATTATTACTATATAGTCATGGAATATTACTGTCTTAAGTTCGAAGGAACTTCTGGATACTGTCCTTTATCCCAAAGTCAAGGAACCTTTTGGGGTGCAGAACTATTTTATAGGACTGTATTTGAAATAATCAGGAATTGATAGGGATGATGTCCCAAGAAAGGGAGCTATTTTTGTGTGGGGTAAGAGGAAGGCCCCTTAAGCTCCCAGGGTTCCTATAGACCCTCCCAGAAATGTTATATTCTATGAGTCTTCCCAGCCCCTCCCCACCTTCCCCCAAGAAAGACCCTCTACTTCAAAGGGGCAGTAAGGGTTGCCTTTTCTGGATTCTTGAATTCATAGAAGAGATCTTCAACAGAGAGAGAAATAGGATGAAATATTCCAAATATCGCTCTCCTTTCCCAACCCAGGACCAAGGCTAAGATAGTGAAAAGTAACTCTATTACTTGAGACCCCATTACTTACTTGGAGAGAACAAGTTAGTCAGACTAAATCCTTGGACATTCTCTAGAAGGATGGATACCACCAGGATCCTCAAAAGTCCAGAAGACACCATTCTGAAGAAGAGCTGGCCTGTCCGTCTGGTGGTTCCAGAACATAAAAATGTCTGGCTGCCTTTGTCTAGCCTATTGTTTCAGTAGTCAGTATTTTGGATATGAGATCTGGAGTCAAGCCAGCCACTCTCTTTTTCTCCTGGGAACACCACGTTTCTGAGATTATCAATGTGGCAAGCTGGCAGCTATAACCCACAGCCCTGGGGAAAGGTCTCTTATTGGATGGCTCCTGGTTCTGGTTCTTAGTCCCCTGGGCTGGGCTGGGTCCTCTGGTCAGCTATGGGGTAGGGGTGAGAAAAGTGGGCAAAGCTTGTCTCACTTTCCAGGCTACCTTGGAAGTGAATGGGGTCTTCTTGATAACATTGAGAGTTGTGGAATGTCCTCATTCTCTATTCATTTTCCATTTTATCTGCACACTAACTGGCACACCCCTTTTGTTTCTGACAATGTGTCTTTTTGATCTCTTGGTATCTCTTTGCTTCTCTGTGTCTCTGTGTGCCTCTGCTTGACTTTTTCTTTTTCCCATGATCTCTGTGTCTCTTTCTCCCTTTCCCACACTCTCCTCCCATCTCTCTCCCTTTTCTCTTTAGGTCACTTATATTGTTTGACTAAGGCCAAAGAATAAATATGTTGCCCCAGAGCAGGGTGTGGGGAAGGAAGCAGCTGATAGAGTTTGCAGACAGAGTTTGTCAAGGTTGTGTTGCTTTGAGAACAGGAGAGAATGTCAGAGCTTTTAGAGAGCTGCTATCATCTGGCACAAACTCCCTGTTGTCTAAGGAAGAACTATCAAATGAAGAAATCTGCCTGAGAGACCACAATACAATAAAGGTCCATAAGACAACAGAGTTGTTGGATTCTAACTGGAATAGTGGAGGAGCCATTGGAAAGATAAGTTTTCCTATAGCCACGGAATCCAAAACATGAGCCAGTCAACCAGTCTTCATAGAGGGAGACACTCTTCAAAGAGTTAATGTCATCTCTAAGGTTCCTATTCCCTTTTCTAACTAGGTATTGCACTTTTGGGACAAGCTTTGTTCTCCCATTGTCCTACCCGGTGGACAGAAGCCTTGTCATCAGTGGGTGACTCTCTGGTCACAAAATTTAAGATCAAAGGCAGAGCCCCTCAGCCTATGGATAGTGATGTCCTTGACTAGGAATGCCTAAGGCACTAGGGCAGCTATATTCACTCATGTAGTGAGCCCCACGGACATTCCCTCTACCACCACCAGGACCAATGTGGTGCTTGGACCAGCCCTGTGATTCTTATTATGATTGCAGGACCCACCACTACTAAACCATCAGGGAACTTTGGAAGAACAATATTTATTACTCACAGGTCCCAAAGGGTACATGGCAGACTGGAGGGCCACACAGCAAGGTTGAGGGCAGAGAGAGGGGCAGAAAGCGTGAACCTGGGCTCTGTCTTTATTAACGTCCACGTCTGGGGTTCCATAGTTCACTCTATTAGATAATTTAAAGCATAACATTGGGAATTAGAACATGGGAAGGGAGAAGCAGGACCACTCAAGTGTCAGTTATCTAGGTTACTCAGGGCTTTCTAAAAGGCAGCCTGGTTCTTTATCTAGTTATTTTGCTCACAGCTATGTCTTACAGCTGGCAATATGTTTACTAGAGGTGAGTGTCTTTGAAATGAATGCCTTGGCAATCAAAAGCTTACTTACATAACTATAAAACATGTCAGACACTTACACTATACAATCCCATCCCACCAACTTCACAGTCTCACTAGATCCCACAAAGAGACTAAGGAATAGAATTTTTAATGAACAACCAAGATGTGTTACGCAGCCCTGTCCCTCTTATTCTACTACGTGCATTCTCCCAAACTTAGCCCTGAAGGGAATAAAAAGCTGAAATTCCTAAATGGAAGGACTCTGAGGGCCCATCAGGTCCCATGTCCTCATCTTACAGGTAGGGATCATTAAGGTCCAGAAAAGTGAAAGAGGCTGACTCAATGTCACCCAGCAGATGAGTGTCAGACATGACGTTAAGAGGGAGCTGAGTGTCTAAGTTCTTACCACAGGTCACCAGGGAATTTTCTAATATCGGTGTGAATATAATATTTTACTATGGAGTTAAAGGTAGAGAGGAATAGTGGGTCCAAAGAGAATGAAGGTTATGTCCTTAGTGAGGGGCAGGGGCTAAAGACCCATGGAGTCTGTAAGTGTCCAAATACTCCCCAGGGCTCCCAATCATGGTCAAATTGTCTCTACATTTTCTGGAAAGTAAATGAAAACTCAGAATTTCTTTTTTTTTTTTAGCAGAAGAAAAATTTTTATTTCTATCAAATTAAAAAGTTTGAATCATCCTCAAACAAGATAATCAAAGTAATCAATAATACCATGAACAGTTAGAAGAGCGTTTACAGATTAGGTTTAGACACTTTGAATTAAGCACATACACCCAAACCAAGGGGCGATGGTTTTCACATGGGCTCGCCATAAGCACGTGACTTCCGGGACAGTGGAGCTGACATTTCCCAGGACAATAAACCAGAAACAAGTCATGAGGTTAGAGAACTGATTTGAGCTTGAGAGGGATCACAATGAAATGCCATTGGAACTTGACAGTTTCCCCCAGAGATCTGTTCATCTCAAAACCAAAAGTATATAAACATCAGCAGTACAAATTCTCCTAAAACTAGAGAAGCCCTCAAGCCCTGACACCTCGGAGCTGACATAAAGACTGAGTTTTTGCTTTTCTTCCTTTTACTCTTCTTTAAGTTAAATACCAACCAGTTTGTTCCTATTTAGTACATTTTTTGTCTTTACAGCCAGAGTTTAAAACAAAAAAAAAGGAGAAAGATTTAATGAAATGGAGTTAGATACACACTAATGCCAGGGAGAATCTCCTAGGTGCACTGCTCCTTTGGAAAGTTCACCCAGAGAATCTTTTATTTCAAGAATGATGCCTCCTGGAACAGCCTAATGATCACTAAGGAAGAAAGGACTATCGATGCCATACAAAAACTTTCTCCCTTTTGGAAATGTTTTATCATCTCTACCTCTTTCTCTCACACACACTAATTATGTCGGGGAATTTGCGGAAGCATACAGAGAACGGCATTTGTTTGGGCCAGAATTGTGCGATTTGTTAAGGAAAGATACGGTATGGCATTTACAAATCATCATCATTATAATACATCGCAGCAGATGCAGGAAGCAGATTTTTCTTTGTAGTTGAAATACGGCTTCATGGTTTCCCAACACCTGGGTCTTGCATTCTTTTCCTTTGCAAACCAAACTGGCTGAGTTATATACAGAAAGGGATGAGAACTTATGTCCAGATCACGTTTCTGTACTAATAGAAGTCTCCGTCACTGGGTTCTTCTTTTGAAAAACCAAATAGATAAGGAAGTTACTAAAAATGGAGAGGAAGAGAGAGAAAGCAATTCATACTGTGAAAATGACTGATTTATGAATAGTTTCCCTGGCAAAAGTAACTGCAGCAAGAAAAGATGCTGTCTGTTAAATGAAAGGTAATAAATGAAATTCATCAGGTAGATACAGATGCCTCCCAAGATCCTGTAATGCAGCAGAGTTGAGACATATGCCCTCTGCATATACAGGGTGCAACTACCACCAGGAAACCCATTTCCTGTCTTAGCACCAGAGCGCCAAAAGCAAAGATCCCAGGAGGGAGCAAATACACCGTTCCGCCTATTAATAAGAATAGAGAGCTCAAACTAAAGAAAGCAGTCCCTTTTGAATTTTCTGATTAATCCCTGTAGGTACATAAAAACACAAATTCACATAAACAGGATTATTTCAGCTCTGGCCAGTTCACTCAGTGGTTTGAGCATCGGCCTGTAGATCGAAGAGTCTAAGGCACTGGTTGGCAAACTCATTAGTCAACAGAGCCAAATATCAACAGTACAACGATTGAAATTTCTTTTGAGAGCCAAATTTTTTAAACTTAAACTATACAGGTAGGTACATTGTTATTAACTTAATTAGGGTACTCCTAAGGCTTAGGAAGAGCCATACTCAAGGGGCCAAAGAGCCGCATGTGGCTCGTGATCTGCAGTGTGCCGACCACTGGTCTAGGTTTTGATTCCCAGTTAAGGCTGCGTGCCTCAGCTATGGGCTCAATCCCAGTCAGGTGCATTGGGAGGCAACCAATCAATGTGTCTCTCTCACATCAATGTTTCTCTCCCTCTCTCTCTCCCCCTCCTCCTTCCTCTCACTCTCTCTAAAAAAAAAAAAAAAAAAAAAAAGTCAATGGAAAAAATATCCTTGAGTGAGGATTAAAACACACACACACACACACACACAGAGAGAGAGAGAGAGAATTATTTCAGTTTTTAAATACAAGGAGGCAAGAAAATTGAAATAATATCTATTAATTAGGTTTAATTGTTGAGGATTTAATTAGACAATGCAAGTAATGTGTTTAGCATGAAGTACCGGTAAACAATAACTACTAAGAATGCCTATTCTGTAACTCGTTTGGAAATTTGTGGTCTTTATGATTTGAGCAAAGACCTCCAGCAGGTTGGAATCTTTGGAACAGAAAAAAAATTCAGATTTTGTTTTCTCATAATTGTAAAGCTGTCATATTTAGTCCAGGCACAGCCAGCAAAACGTGTTTCCTCAACTCCATGGGCTCCATTCCCTTTACTAACTACTTACTATGTGCGTAGGTTACTCACAGGAGAAAAACACTGTCAGCATCAACATTTAGCAGTATTTTCAAAATAAGCTTTTTAAAATCTTGAATAAAAAACTGAATTATTCTTTTAGTCCAGTAATTCCATATGGTCTTATTGCATCTATACATAACATAGGACCTTTTCACATTATGTACAAGCCTATTTCTTTTCTTTTCTTTTCTTTTTTTGAGGATTTCCAAAAGACGCTGTGGATTTTATGTTTTCACAAAAATGAAAGAAATGGTATTCACCCATGAGAATCAGAGCAGCAGTTTAAGCATACCCTCTGCAGAGCTCAGTTCCTGGTGTGTGAACAATTCAGTATCGCCCCCTGGTGCTCAGCTCTTAGAAAGAAATTTCAGAGGGACAAAAGCAGTAACTATCTGTATTAATAGCCTAGGGAGGGAAGAAACAGAAATGGAAAAAATGCAGTCTAATAAAAAAATAGCAGAGCCCTCGCTGGTTTGGCTCAGTGGGTAGAACATTGGCCTGCAGCCTGAAGGGTTCCGAGCTTGATTCCAGTCAAGGGCATGTACCTTAGTTGCAGGTTCCCTGGCCCTGGTGGGGGTGTGTGCAGGAGGCAACCAATTGATATGTCTCCCTCACATAGTTGATTCTCTCTGTCTCTCCCTCTGCCTTCCACTCTCTCTAAAAATAAATGGAAAAATATCCTCAGGTGAGGATTAACCAAGAAAATAAAAATAAGTAAAAAGCAGAAATCTTTCTTTCATTCCAGAATGTCTGAAAAAAAGAGATTCTGTGGAGCATGGATGCAGAAAAGAAGGTGTTACCCCTAAGAGAGAAAAAACTGAATTGTGGACACAGTCACTCAAAGTCATAAAATCGACCACGGAAAGCAACTGGCTTCACCCTCATTGTCACCAGGGGGGCACATACCAGAGAACATGGGACAAACCCCAGGCTACAGCCCTTGGCATTCCCATGTCTACTGGTGCTATGGTTCAACAGCCTTTAGGGGATGGGGGAGACCCAAAGACCACCACCATCATGGCTACTATGACAACAGCATGACTCTCAGATGAGCTAGAGCTTGGGTTATACATGTTTGAAATGCAGCCTGTATTTGCTTCCTTGTGAATGGCTTGACACATGTGCAGAGATATCTTCAACGTGTATAAGTGACCCTTCTTTTGAAAGGCAGTTAAGAGCCTCCTCATTAACTCTTTCTACTCATTAGTTTTCAAATCAGTTCACCATTTATACTAGAAGACACTGCAAGATAGCTCAGCTAGCTTCTAATTGGGACACCACACCAAAACTACACATATAATTGAAAGAACCACATCTTCCTGGTTCTTCCACTGGGCGGGCTCAGTATGCTTCTTTGGATTGTATAGGTGTGATCTTGTTCAAGAAAAGCATGTAGACACAGGGCCAGCTTTTGTTAGTCTCCATTCCAGAAAATTGGTGGAACACTCCTGGGCTCTTGTATAGTTTAATGACTGGCTTTGCCACATCCTTGTCCTTTCTTAGCCAGGCAGCAACTGCTTCAGGATTATCATCCTACTGCTAGATGAATGGTTCACCAGTGATGTCATCAATCCCATGTACCAGTTCCTAGAGCATGAAGTGATTGAACATTGTCCACCTAGCACTCAGCTCTTAGAAGGAATTTCAGAGGGACAAAAGCAATAACTATCTGTATTAATAGTCTAGGGAGGGGGGAAGCAGGTGTAAAAAAAATTCTAATAAAAATAGCAGCAGCCAAATTCTTTCATTGCAGAATGTCTGAAAAGAAGAAATTCTATAAAGCATGGGGTCAGGGCACATATAAGAATCATGTACAACTTAGTGAAACAACAACATGATGTTTCTCTCTCTCTCTCACACTCTCTCTCTTTAAAAATCAATAAATAAATTTGTAAAAAAGAAAATATTTTTACTTACTATCTAGGGTTGAGGTTCCAGGCACTTTAGTCCACAACGTGAGCAGCACTTGTCCCCCAACTGGCAATCCTCATCTCTCTGGCACTGGGGTTTATCAATCTTTAGACATGTTGGGGGCTTTGGTGGGCAGGAACCTGTTTTGACTTTATGGGATACAACAAGGTACTTAAACTTTAAATACTTGATCATAAAAAAATAAAAATATCACAGCTTTTATCTCTTTTATTATAATACTAGAGGCCCAGTGCACGAAATTTGTACGGGTGGGGGGGGGGGTTGTCCCTCAGCCCAGCCTGCAACAACACCAGTGTCCCTCACCCCGGCCTCCAGCCCAAGGCCTCTCCCCTCCTCTCCCTCCACGTGGCCAGGGCACAGACACTGGGCTCGCATTCCCGAGGTGACGCCGCCAGCGTTCCTCCCTGGCCACTATGGGCGCTGCCATCTTTGTCTCGGATTGATGGTTAATTTACATATTACTCATTTATTATATAGAATCAGCATGTAACTACAGTGGGGCCTTGACTTACGAGTTTAATTCGTTCCGTGACAGAGCTCGTAACTCAAATTACTCGTATGTCAAATCAACAGTGAACGAGTGAGACACGTGATGCTGGGCTGATGTTGTGGCGTTCACTGTGACGTTTGCTGCACCATCTAGCGGTGGGGTATCTGAAGCTGGCTCGTAACCCGAATGTTAGCTCGCAACTCAAAGCAAAAAATCAGCTAAGAGACAGCTCGTATCTCGAAAAACTCATTAGTCGGGACACTCGTAAGTTAAGGCCCCACTGTATAATATTTCACATTATCCTGGATTAACCATAATTATTGTGCTAATACTTATAAAATTGAAAAATCATTAAAAAATAAGTACTTGATCATAGTTTGAGACAAATTTGGAGTCTCTTGGGAACCCTAAAAAGGATTTTCTTCTGATTAAGCCTTTTATCTTTCCCTCTAGCATAACAATAGAGTGAAGGAAGCAGAGTATCAACTTTCTATGGCTAATAATTTTGAGGGACATCAAAAAGTTTTGCCATCTCTTACTTATAAAATCTGATAGTATTTCTACCTGTCCCTAAAGAATTAATGGATTTGGGTTATCTAATTCCATAGTACCAGAGGTAGAAGAAAGAGTATTAAAGATTATCAGAAGTTCCTTGTTTTATAAACTATAGAAATTGAGGACCATAGAGGGGGAAGTGAGTTGCCTAAGCCCACACAGAAAAGTTGGAAGTCAGTTGAAAAGACTTGACTCCTTCCATCATACCATGCTGTTCCTCAAAACACTGACAATCCCTGGGACAAGATCATACCATCTGAACAGTCGGGGGCGGGGGGCGGGGGGAATGAACACTAGCCTTAGAGGCTGGAGAGTTTACTTCTAGCCCAACATATTTTGCTACCAATCTTTTCCCTAGTACACCTTACAGGGTGTGAATATGCTGTGCATGCTCTGAAGTTCTCTGCAGACTTACTAGGAATATACTCAATGGTTATGATTTTTGGTATGAATAAGTGCATCCTGTCACCTTGTAGGCTTTTGCAGAAAGAGATTCAGAATAAATGAGTTTTCATGGGGAAAAAATGGGGAGTGATAACACACATGATTGACTTTGAAGAACAGCATAATAGTCTCCTGAGATCAGGAGGGCAACATGAGCGCATTGTTTGGGTATTAAAGGGGGAAAGGTTCTCAAGAGAACTCTAAGGTTAACCTAAGACTCAGCACAGCATCCTCAGCTCGTATACTTTGGGAGGCATACCCGGTACTCACCTATCCAGAAGACGGAACAAACAAAGCCACACATGGATTCACAACATTTCTCATTCTCAGCGCAATCATTGTCACTCTTACACGAACCCGAACATTGCATACGGTCCTTGGAAGGAAAGAGTGGGCACTGTCCTTTCTTGACTAAAACAAGAGCAGATATGAGCTCCTTAAAACCCCATCCCATTGCCCCGCCCTCAAGCAACTTCTCCTCTTCAAAACTAGTATTTCTGTGACTTGGTTCATTCTGCCTACGGGTAGTGGGCTGTGGAGGAATGAAACGCCTCACATTTTATGGGATGCAATAGACCAGGGGTCCTCAAACTACGGCCCACAGGCCACATGCAAATACAAATATTGTATTTGTTCCCGTTTTGTTTTTTTACTTCAAAATAAGATATGTGCAGTGTGCATAGGAATTTGTTCATAGTGTTTTTTTTTTAAACTATAGTCCGGCCCTCCAACGGTCTGAGGGACAGTGAACTGACCCCCTGTTTAAAAAGTTTGAGGACCCCTGCAATAGACAAAGAGTTAGGATTGGTGTTTGAAGCCCCAAGGTAAAGTCCCAGTCCTGCTTCAGTTTCTCCTATACCAGTAAAATAGAAGTGTTATGTGAGATCTACACAAATCAATGTAAGACATTTTCGGGGATTTGGTTTTACTTTGAATGAGGAGTGACAGGATGACTCACATTTTGAAAGGATCGTTGTGGCTATTGTGTAATAGATTGTAAAAGGGGAAGGATAGAAGCATGGAGACCTGTGAGTAGGCTGAAGCCATACCAGGTGAGAAGATGACACCTCCTACCAGGGTAGCAGCTGTGGAAGTAGGAAGAAGCAGTCAACTCCTAGATCTATTTCCCTAACTAAACGGATGTTGATTGAAAAAGGAAGATATCATGGGTGATTTAGGAGTTTTGTGTTGTTGTTTTTTACAACTAAGATGGGGTGATCTATGGATATGGCAGGTTTGAGATGGGAGAGTTAAGGTATTCAATTTTAGACAAGTTAAATGTGAGGCATTTATGAGATCCAGATAATCTCAAAGTCTGAGCCTTTAGCAGTATGGGTTTTCTGTTTCTAGTTAGACTAGGCCCTCAGATGGCCAAGGACATTAGTCTTACCAGTTAACGAGCAAGCCTTCATGCAGTCTTCCTTGCTGAGGAAGTTGTTGGAATTTCCATCACAGCCTCCATATTTAAAAGGTTTGCATAACAAATTTTTTAAATCATAATGCCAGCGCCTATCAAAATGCTTACAGTTTCCTTGATCGAATGATAGCATGCAGGGTTCTGAGGGCAAGAAGCAAAGAGGGAAAAACATAAAAGGTAGCAAAAGAGGGAAGGGGTCAGGCCCTCGGCATTTTTATAATTCATGGTGTTACCATTCACATCATAGAAAGAGCCATGGTCAATAAAACTTCTAGTCTTCACTCTACTACAAATGCTCTGTAGTGAATAGCATCTCTGAGCATCTTTTCTACCTTGCAAAGGATCTCATAAAGAGTACATGAGAATGCTTTGGAGCTGATATTTCCACTTCTCTGAGCTTTGGGTGGGCAAGACTCGTTCGGCAGCTATATCCAAAGTGCCTAAGACAGTGCCTGACACATAGGAGCGTTAAAATACTGAGAAAGAAAAAAAAAAAGCACCCGCTCATGCCTGGAAACTTACCTGATGCTCACAGCTAAGTCACGTTGTTTCTCTGTAGGACATAAACAATCTCACAGAACAGCCACATCAACCAAGGTCACTCTGAGACCAGTATAAATTGAACCAAAAAATAAAAATCACTGTGAAACCCACAAAATAACAAGCACCTTTGAGTGATTTATGCTTCTCTACTGACTACACTCTATCCTCATTCTAGCCTGTCCTCTCTGTAGATAAGATTCACCGAGGTACTCATAGAATTGCCCCACTTTCTGATAGCATCCAATCTAGAGCCAACCCCCACTTCCTTAGACTGTCCCTGAAATAACCCTATCAAAGCCTCAATCCCATAGTAGATTCTTTCTAACAGCTTCTTAGTGAGATGCCTCAGGTTGTCTGTGATGAACATTCTCCCTGACTGCAATGAGTAACAAACCCAACTTGTTTAATTACAGGTGTGTTTCTGGTTGACTTTGGGCAAAAGACATTGACAATAGATATTTGTTGAGTGGACTTATATAAAATGCAGAGTTCCCTACTATTAGATGGTCAATAGCTTGAGTTACCAGAAAACTTCCTTGTAGGCCAGAGTCCAACAACAACACCAGCGTCTAAGCTGACTGAGGTTTATATTTGGGACTGTGTGTCTCTTGACACACAGTGAGCATGCACTTGAAAGTTGGGAGTCTAATTAGAAAAGGTGCACAACACGAACCCTGGCCTCTTTATCCTGCCATCCTAGGGAATGTTCAGCCAGTTCTGGACCAGTAAGAAGTAAGGTGCCTCAAATGACACCTCTGCCTTCAGCCTGGAAGCCACTACCTTCGTATGGATCCATGCACTTCTTCCTACAGGCAAATTGGCAGCACTTCAAGTGTTCCTCACAGCCATAATCCCCTGCACACGATCTTTGAATCTTAGTCTGACACTTGAGTCTCTCTTCAGGGCATATTCCTGGTTTCTCTGCAAGAAAGGTATGTCTGAATTTACAAACAACTCTTGAGAGTTTCAGCTCTTCTGCCATAGCAAAGGTGAACAGTGAAACTATCTCAGTCCTATCCTCTGCCTTTAATCTTTAGTTCTTGCTGACTGTATTTAGGGACTGGGTCTGCCTCTCACCACTCTCAGCCCATTGAGATAGATCTGAATTAGAAATGTGTGCCCATGTAGAACTAAAGGGGAAGCCTCTTAGATTCCAGGGCAGGTGGTTAAATGGTAACCAAGATCCTTGCCTTAAATTCAGGAGCTCTCTCCTCTTGAAACTTATATTTTAATGCTTAATTCCTGTCTCTAGTATCTTAGTTGACAAGGGGAATTAATTAGTGGGGAGTAGCAGAAATATGGAAATAGGACTCAGGAGGCCTAATTTTAGCCCCTAACTCCCTGTAAGTTCAAGACCAACCTGAGTTCCACTATATGATTCACATTTCCTGTAAGGGGGAAGGAAATGTTGGAGTGGAGGAAGCACTGTAAGCAAGACAGATCTGGCTTGGGAGTTTGACTCAACACAACCAACTAAATAATCTTGGAGAAAATGTCTTCCTTCGTCTGTGTCGTAATTTCCCAATCTGCAAAATGAGAATTACAATCTCTACCTTATAGGCTGCTTAAAACAATGAAGTGGGATGATGCCAAAATGTACTTATCGTGCCTGGCACATGGTAAGCGCTTGGCACATATGGGTTTACTTCCTTTCTATTTAGGGCTAGATATGGCTTCCTTATTTCAGCTCTTGTATGAGGCAGAATTCCAAAGTTGTACCCTCAAGATTCCGATCCTCTAGTTATTGGATCAAACACCCATTTAGATACTGCTGTGAAGGGATTTTGTAAAGGGAATTAAAGTCTCAAGTCAGTTGACCTTAAGATACATTGATTATTTAAGTGGGCCTGATTCAATTTCTTGAGTCCTTAAAAAGAAGAGGGTTCCCCCCCCCATAATTAGTAGAGAAGAAAAGACCATAAAGATTCAAACTATAACACAAATCCATTATGCTATTCATAGCTTTGAAGCTGGAGGAGGCTCAGTGCCAAGGAATGAGGGTGGACTCTAGAAGATGACAGCCAATAAGGAAACCTCAGTCTGCAATGGCAAGAAAAGGATTCTGCTAACATCCAGTGATCTTGGGAGAGTCCCAGAAGACAACAGCAGCCTTGCTGACACCGTGATTTCAGCCTGGTCAGAACCTGAGCACAGGATCCTCCTTCCTCCTACAGGTAACTGGTTATGCAGCAACAATGCTTAATTTTGCTTCATGCTCATTACTTCTCCAGTGGAACCTGACCAGAGAGGCATGATCCTTTTAAACAATACTGAGTCTTGGAACTATAGATGTTGAGAATTACAAACACCATAATAATCATTAGCATCAACCTTCTAATTTCATAGGTTTAAAAACAATAAGGTCAGAGTAGATAACAGTGAATTAGGGGGAGGTCTGGGACTTCTAATCCATGGCTCACTCCAGAAGATCCCACATCTCCCCTAAGGACTGGCCACTGAGACTTATAATATTTTCAACTATATTTCTTACCTCTCAGTCCACCCTTAATATTCCTCCAAGGATAGCCTGAAGCTAAGAAGAGCATATGGTTCCCAACCTGAAGTGCACAACAAAATCATCTGTGCATCATTTAGCAAATATAGACCGTGAACCGAATCAGAATGTCTAGAAAGTGAGGCCCAGGGACTCAGATTTTTCAAGTTGCTCGGTAATCTTGAAGCAGCCAACTGGGCACCATGATGTAGGCTACTAATTGGGAACCAGTGTTCTAGGTTTGGGCACAGAGTTAAGCAAATCACACAGGACACCTCCAAAGAGGTAAAGATGCATAAAAACCTTGGGATTATGAAGACAAACTTCCCTTCTCACTAGTGCTGACTCCAGCCAGTTCTTCCTGCTCCCTGTTTTGGGGGCTATTTAAACCTTTCTTGGGGTTTCAGTCATGGTAGCCTCTTACCCCACTTTCAGCTTGAACTCTCACTTAGAATCCTCCTTCCTCCCTGTCAGCCCTTCTCAGCCACTTACCTTGTGTGTACAGTTTCCATTGTGATACACACCCCAGGAGTTCCTCTGCTGTTACTGGGGATGGTCCCCAAAGTTCTGGTCTCAGCCCTCTCCTGTCATTACTTGACACGTACTTCCCAGATGACCACGTCCATTCCTGTGACAATCCCAACTGTGATTCCTTTATCTCCCCCAGACCTCTCCTCTCTTCCAGGCTAAGACACTTATATCCAGCCACCTGGGGACAATGGCATTTGAGCATCTCATAAGCACCTCTGTTGCAAGATGTTTAAAAAGAGCCAGTGTCTCCCGGTGCCAAAACCGTGCCTTTTGTCTGTTCCCATTTTGACATTTGGCAGCAATAGTCCCCATGAAATAAGCTCCTCCCTTTCCATCAGCCTAGCATCCTATCAGTCATGGACTTGGGTCGATTCAATCTCCTAACTCTCCAAACCCCTCCCTTCTCCCTCTTTACTATGACTTCCTCTGACCTTTCTTAACTATTCCAACAGCCTCCTCACTGGTCCTCTGCCTTCCAGCTCTTATCTAGTGACTGATTAATTTTTTTAAATTAAACTTGGAAAAAACACATATCGGGAAAAGTTAGGGAAATAATTTCCAGGGAGCAGGTGAGGGAAGGATCTGAAGGGCCCAAAGTGGGTGAGTAGGACTTGTTCTCTGAAACCGTAGTGGAAGTGGCTTCATTGAACACAAGTCCTTGCCTCACGCCGAACCCTCAGTCCCTGAGAATGCCTGCTTAGGATGAGCAGCTACAGCTTTTCTGAACCCACGTCTGATTCTTTGGCGTTGCGCCGCAAATGTCATCTCCAAAGAGAGGGAGAGAAGCAGCAAGAGAGCTCTGCTCCTCCTGGAGACGATGGCGGTGTGGCGAGGAAGGGGCCTGTGTGGGATGAGAAGAGGGGCAGGGGTTAGGCACAAACCAGAGAGAGACACAAAGCACATGCAGATGAACCTTAGAAATAATCCACCAATTCCCTTAGTTTACAAATTTAAAAACTGAGAATCATAATGGAGAAGGGGCTTGTCTCTGGTCACATGGCAAGTAGGACAGGACCTTCAGTCCCAGGACCCTCCCCATGGTCCCACACTCTTCCATGGTACAGGATGTGATCTACCCAGACACTTGCCCATATGGCTCTGGGTGAGAGGCCACATGTGAATGATCACAGTGATTCCGCTGTAGCAGTTACAAGGCTAGTTTGCCCACAGTCACTCCTGGGGCAATCCCAGGCTCTAAGGAGCACTTTTCTTTGTACCACTCATGACAAGAAACAGATTTTCAGGAGAGAGCCTGGGCATATGGCCCTCCATCTTAGGAGGAACAAGGATCCCAGATGACCTGGGGGTAACAAAAGGATCCCTTTTATTCCTTCTGGTGTTATCCAAGCCTGGGAACTTATGATCTTAGACAACCACATAAATAGATGATATTTCCCCACTAACTCACATCTCCATTTTCTAGGTCTCTTCCTGGCCCTTAAGTATTTTTAAAATATTATGATGGGAAGAACTGCTAATGCCTTACTGTATTAGCTCTCTTGGAGTAAATGCATTTTAAAAACAGTAAGAGAGGAAGATGGCGGCATAGGTAAACACCAGAAATTGCTGCTTGCACAACCACTTCGAAAATACAACTAAAAGACAAAACTGACATCATCCAGAACCACAGGAAGGCTGTCTAAGTGAAAATTCTACAACTAGAAGGAAAGCGAAAAGCACACTGAGACCCAGAGGAGTTGCGGAAGTAAAGTGCAGAGGTACGGAGGCGCACGTGGAAAGGGCTGGCAACTGAGGACATGGTTGTCTTTTTCAATCAGGAGGGAGTCTCAAGCTCCCTACTGCTCTGAACTCCTGTTTCAGGCAAGTCTCTGGAGACCCCACTCATACGGGGAGAAACTGGACTGTCTGGCAGTGGGTGGAACTCGAGGGCGGCTTTCTCTCAGAGGTGCTTGCAGCCATTACCGTGGGACACTGAGACCCTGGGCCTCTTAGGGTAGGACTGAGGATCAGCCATACCTGTTTGCTCCACCCTGTTGATTCCCTGAGACCCCGCCCTACCCAAGCTGTGCCCAGAGGCTTTTGCATATGAATGGCCTGACCCTTTGCAATCTGAAAATTACCTAACAAACTGCAGCTGGGTCAGAGAGACCCAGAACTTCCAAAAGAAGGCCCAAGGCCCCACAGCAGCTTGCATTGCTTCACAGCTGGGCCTCATCTGGGCACCTCCAAACCCCAAACAAAGAAGAGGAATCTGCAGATCTCTCCATAGATCCTGCTGGGTAGCTTCAGGAAGAGGCTAAATTAGCACCTCCTTAGAGATCCAAGAGCCAGTGTACCCAGTGGTCAGAGGGGGACCATCCAGATTACAACTCCTCAGATCCATAAGGGACACACTTAGGGGGCAGACTCAGTGAGCACCAAAGCCCCACTGAAGTAAGTCTTGCCCCAGAAGGGTGTCTCCAGCACAGAAGTTCTCCCACTGTCAACACAGCTGATTCTCACAGACAATTGGCCTGGAGGTCAATTCCTCCCAGTGATACCTACAACAATCAAGGCTTAACTACAATAAGACTGTGCACAAAGCCCACAAAGGGGTTCACCAAGAGTGTCCACCTCAGATAATTGGGGAGGCTGAGCCACTGGGCCCTATAGGACACCTAGCACAGAAAGCCACCCTATCAACACAGGGAAGCATAAAAAATGCAGAGACAAAAGAAACAGGTCACAAATGACAGAAATGGAGGAAAGCAAACTACTGGATATAGAGTTCAAAACCACGGTTATAAGGTTTTTCAAGAATTTTCTAGAAACTGCCGATAAAGTTAATGAGACTCTCAAGAAATCTAATGAGACCCTCAAGGATATGAAAAAGGACCATATAGAAATTAAGCAAACACTGACTGAAATAAAGAATATTATACAGAGTTCCAATAGCAGACTAGAGGATCGCAAGAATCAAGTGAAAGATTTGAAATGCGAAGAAGCAAAAAACACCCAACCGGAAAAACAAAAAGAAAAAAGAATCCAAAAATATGAAGATAGTGTAAGGACCCTCTGGGACAACTTCAAGTGTGCCAACATCCAAATTATGGGGGTGCCAGAAGAAGAAAGAGAGCAAGATATTGAAAACCTATTTGAAGAAATAATGACAGAAAACTTCCCCTACCTGGTGAAAGAAATAGACTTCCAAGTCCAGGAAGCGCAGAGAACCCCAAACAAAAGGAATCCAAAGAGGACCCCACCAAGACACATCATATTAAAATGCCAAGAGCAAAAGACAAAGAGAGAATCTTAAAAGCAGCAAGAGAAAAACAGTTAGTTACCTACAAGGGAGTACCCATAGACTGTCAGCTGATTTCTCAACAGAAACTATGCAGGCCAGAAGGGAGTGGCAAGAAATATTCAAAGTGATGAATAGCAAGAATCTACAACCAAGATTACTTTACCCAGCAAAGCTAGCATTCAGAATTGAAGGTCAGATAAAGAGCTTCACAGATAAGAAAAAGCTAAAGGAGTTCATCATCACCAAACCAGTATTATATGAAATGCTGAAAGGTATTCTTTAAGAAGAGGAAGAAGATGAAAAAGGTAAAGATACAAATTATGAACAACAAATACACTTCTATCAACAAGTGAATCTAAAAATCAAGTGAATAAATAATCTGATGAACAGAATAAACTGGTGAATATAATACAATCAGGGGCATAGAAAGGGAGTGGACTGACTATTCTCAGGAGCACAAGGGGTGTGGGGGGTGCGGGAAGAGACTGGACAAAAATCGTACACCTATGGATGAAGATAGTGGGTGGGTGGGGGGGTAAGGGCAGAGGGTGGTTTTGGAACCGGGTAGAGGGGAGCTATGGAGGAAAAAAAAGAGGAACAACTGTAATAATCTGAACAATAAAGATTTAATTAAAAAAATAGTAAGAGACGGACAAAGGGAGGGAGGAAGAAGGAAGGGAAGGGGAGAGAGAGAGAGAGAGAGAGAGAGAGAGAGAGAGAGAGAGAAGGGGAGGGAAGGAGAGGGGAGGGGAGGGGAGGGGAGGGGAGGGGAGGGGAAAGGGAAGGGAGGGGAGGGGAAGGGGAGGGGAGGGGAGGGAAGGGAAGGGAAGAGAAGGGAAGGGAAGGGAAGGGAAGGGAAGGGAAGGGAAGGGAAGGGAAGGGAAGGGAAGGGAAGGGAAGGGAATGAATGTGTCTCTATGCCATTTATGCATCTGTATTATTGGTAGAACTTCAGACACTAAGAGAGGGATAGAATCTTTGCCAGATATCCTAATTGGCTGCCTAAGAATAAAGACCTGTGACAATGTTTTTGTTGTTGTTATTTTTCAGAATTAGAATCTAGTATCCTTCCCAAAATTTTACAACAGTGCCTGGACTGCTCAGTAATGAGAATATGGGCCAAGACACAGTTGGTCCTGGCTTGGTCATTTATAGCTGTAGCTGTATCTTGGGTCCTAGTTTCCTCATCTAGAAAATGGAAGTAATATCACCTGCCTAGCAGCTCTGTTGTCGATGTGAAGAGTGGATGAGATAGTGTGAAGAGTATTCATGAATGGGTATGGTATGATCAAAACTTAGTTTAGACTTGGACCTGAGTTCACATCCTGAATCCCCCTCTTACTAGCTATGTAGTCTCAGCTCAGTTATTTATCCTTGCTGAGCCTCGTTTTTCACAAAGGGAATAGTATTAAAACCTACTTCATAGACATGAGAATTAATTGAACTATTGTGTAAAGCATAGTGTGGCTCAGTGGTCTCAGTTCGATTCCTGGTCAGGGCACATGCCCAGGTTTAAGGGGGCAGTCAATTCGTGCTTCTCTCTCATCACTGATGTCTCTCTCTCTCTCCCTCTCCCTTCCTCTCACTGAACTTAATAAAAACATTTAAAAAAAGAAAATCACTTGTGATTTGTGATCAGTATTCTAACTACTAGGAAACAAATTCTTTTGTAAGTATAAGGTTTTCTATTGTATGTCTTTATAAAAATTAAAAGAGACATTAATCAAGTTGATTAATATTTAAATTAGATATTTAAAATATTTTTTATTATAGAGCATTATGAGATTTTTGGCAACTAACTAGAAGTTCAAAGAACCAAGTGACATACCAATAATGAAATTTTATTCCCATGCACTTATATATCATTGAAATATGCATTCATTACCTATAGAATTTTGTTTATCAATAAAATTTTGTGTATTTATTAATATTCAATGTATTTATTTATATATTCATTATTATTATATTATTTAAATAACAACTGGAACAAAAAATAAAACCATAAGAAAAAAATTTATTCCTAGTGTTTTATAGTCCCAGTAGATGTAAACAGTGAAGTGTAACTTATATGCATGTTTTTGTTGCATAAAAGTATGAAAAGTCATGAAGAAAAAAGTTTTGAGCATAACATTATATTCCATGACATGAAAGGTCTAAGCAAGAGGAATGGAAATAGGAGTTCAAGAGGAAGAAAAAGTGTTTTAAAATTTCCAACTATTAAGGTGGTTTTTATCTATATGTATATATTTTTTATCAGTACAGAGGTCTTTATTTTGGCACTCGTCGTGCCATGAATTCATAGGAAGCGGGTTCCAGCCACTCAGGCTCCTTCCCATTGGTTCTCACAAAGTGTGCTGGTCTGAGTAGAGCCAGCTGGTGCTTCAGCTGGACGTAGGTATCTTTCTCTTGGGCTTCCTTTTTTCTTTTTCCTGATCATTTTTCTTCACACCCTACCTTTCCCCATGTGGCAGAGGTTGCTCTTTGCAATAAATCCAGGAGCATTTTGCAACTGACAGATCTACAGATGTCCAGGAGCTGGGGGAACAGTGTGAATTTCCAGGTTACAACCTTTGAAAACTACAGGTAAGGCCCCATCATGGTCCCCTATTGCTCCCCCACTGGGAACACACACACCCTGCCTCAAAGTCCTGTTTTGTTTCCATGCATGAAAGCTCCTTGTCCACATCTTCCTCATTCCAATAGCATGGTGGGTTCTGCTGCATGGCTACTCAACCACGAATGTGCCTTTAGCCTCAGCCATGAGGCAGGAGACCTTGAGGAGGATAATTAGCTCTGTATGTCTCTCTCTCTTTTTTTTTTAATATATTTTATTGATTTTTTACAGAGTGGAAGGGAGAGAGATAGAGAGTTAGAAACATCGATGACAGAGAAACATCGATCAGCTGCCTCCTGCACATCTCCCACTGGGGATGTGCCCGCAACCCAGGTACATGCCCCTGACCGGAATCGAACCCAGGACCCTTCAGTCTGCACCCGACACTCTATCCACTGAGCCAAACCGGTTTTGGCTGTATGTCTCTTTAATAAACCTTGCCTTAAACTCAGAGTAAGTAGCTGCCTCCTCCAAAGACATAACCTTCTAAATAACTCCTACTCAGTGATCTACATTCTGACACTGAGGAAGGGCAGTCTCTCAGTGCAGAGCAGGGTA